TTCTATTTAGATATTTTATCCACGTTAGTTGATTTTTATTAATGATGTAAAGAGAAATGCAGTATTCCTGGGTGTGGAAAGTGTTCTACCAGTACCCTGGAGAGCTGCGCCTGACGTGGTGCTTCCATCTCAGTACCTGAGGTGCAAAGTGCTTCTACTGGTCCTTCTCCTGAAGAGGATGAGCCAGCCTGCCTCAGACTTCTGAAACTGACAACTTCCCCAATGTTACAGGTCCATGCCTTGGCATAGGACTTGCATCTCACTCTTTGCAGCACTTGTGTATTCATTAGATGCCCAGATTCATGCTAATTTGCTGCTATGTAATCAACATGATATCATCCACACAGGATTGTGTCTGTGAGGCTCTGCCAGAGGTCTGCATATCCCAAGCTTCTTCCACCTGCATTGTGACAGGGAGCAAGAGGGTTAACAGAGGCTGCGGCCAATTCTGAGGACCTGAGCTCATTCCAGATGACTGCAAACTCGACCACAGGACTGTGACTGATTGGATCTGCTCTGCTACTGTGCCTTGACTGTGGTCCTTCCTGGGGCAGCTCTTCAGAAGGCCAGCACCACCCCTCCACAGATGGTTAGCTGGGGAAGACCTAATGCACTCTGAGCCAGGACAGAGAGAGCCATCACCTGACAGATGTAGATTTAACTTTATAAAAGAAAGAACCAAATCAACTGCTCCACTGAAGGGGGTGGCCATAGGGACAGTGTGTCCCTGTGCAAAGCAACAGTGTGGGCATGGGATGGCAGGCTTGATGGAGCACCATGCCCCAGGTCCCACGGGATGCCCTAGAAAATCCAGCAGGCCAGGACACCAGGACAGGGTGGGGAAGCATGCCCAGGTGGAAGTGAGCCTTAATTGTCTTCTGTCCTGCCTGAATCACCTATGCAAGGATGATGAGGGGCTCAGGTTCGATGATGTGGTGAGCAACATGCACAAGCAACACTTAGGAGGCAGTGAGCATTAAATTCACCATGCCAGGTGTCTGCTTTCCCCCTACCATGTGCTTAGGTGTTGCAATGTCTCAGCATGCGGGGTTTTATGAACGGACAGATGAGATGTCCCTTATCTACTTGGACTCAGGTCCCACTGGGAGCTTCCTAAATCTCTCCGCTCTCATTCCACAGTTACAGCTCTTTCCCAAAACAGTGTCAGGGAGGCCAGGAATGCATTGCTGGCAGGAGCTTATCAATCCTTTCATTCAGTCCAAGAGAAATAGAGGGCGAGAGAAAGGAGATCACCTCCCCAGCACCTCACACACAGTACTAGGGATATTGTCAGAATTATAACACAGGACCTAGAGCTTAAAGTCTCTGTAGCTACAATCTCACACTTCAACTTTAGTGAGCTGTGCCAAATTTGGGTTCTTTCTCTAAGGATAAGCCTTGTTTCTCTTCCTGTCCTGAGCTGCCTTCTCTCTTCAGCTCAGCCCACCTGGGTTGACCAGCACCGGTGTGGATCAAGCTACTCTTGATCTACCTCTTTGGCGCTAGAATGGAACCTGAGCTTCAGGCAGTGGGATTTCGGCAACCTTTCTCTGTGTAGAGGCATTGAGCTCAGATTTTTTAAGGAAACATAAATAGAAGAAAGAAAAGACTCAGTTGCCGTCTTGCTAAGACAGTTGTCTTGTTTCTCAATCACAAGCTTGGGGCCAATCCTAGTCCAGGCTGTGCCCTCAGTCAACACTGAGTTCTGCAGGTAGCAGTGGAAAATGGTCCAAGAGCTCAGGGCCATTGAGATGATGGGAGAAGTGAATTTGGAGGAGGAAGGCAGCCAGATACAGGAAGGCCTTGGACTCTGGCCTGTCCATGGGCCCCACATGCTCCCTAGGAGCCTCTCAGACTCCAGGATCCCCCACACTCTGTGCTTGCAGGCAGAATCAGTCGTTGCTCCCTATTTGAGGGAAATAGTCCCGAAGACAGAGCTTAAGACCCTGAAGAGAGCAAGAGGTCACAGGCCGGGGTAGAAGCTGTCTCAGGCATGCAGAGCATTGTGGAGGTGGGAGACCCAGCAGAGACCTCTGCACATTCCAATTCAGGGAGCTGGAGCTTGAGGTCTGCTCTGTAGGGCTCTCTCTTAAGCTTGGCTCCAGCACCTCAGCAGGAGAACAGGTCCATTGCCACATCTTCTGCAGAACCTCTTTAGGAACGCAAAGAAAGGAGGCGAGAGTCCCTGTGCATCTATATGGGAGTGAGACAGAGTATGTGTGAAAGTAAGTGTGAGTGTGTGTGATTCAAATGTGTGTTTTTGGGTGCATGGAAATGTGTGATTAGAGTGCTGGTGTCGATACTCACATGGCAGCAAGTACATGTGCTTGTGCCAAGCATGTGGCTGAAGGCTGAGGGGGACATTGTATGTTCAGAGTGCTGGTATGGGAAGGGCGGGTGCCATGCTGCTACATTTTATTTTGGGATGTGGTCACAGCAGTCATGGGGATGGTAAACAATGATTAAAGCAATAATGCAGTTATAGAACACCAGTATTAAGCAGCAGGGTTCAGAAAGTGTGGGGCTGAGATGTGTTTTGAGGCTGGATTTGATCCCCAAAAGTAGAAGGCAAAGCTCACATTAGGGCACCTGCTGGCAGCCCAGAGGCCAGAGTGTTACCATGATTAAAGCCTGTGGCACATGCTCAGATGTATGTGTGCCCAGCACTTCAGGAAATGAAGGAACATTTAGCACTAAAGTTTGATTTTCCAGTTGAGCTGGTATCTTAGAAAGTATTCTTCTGATGATTTTATTTTTAATAAGAAGAATTATACCCTATATAACATATTCTATATGCAAAGAATTATTTGGAACCAGACTCATGTGTCTGCCTGAGAGAAGAGGAGACATTTCAGCTGGCTGAAAATGTGGAGAACACAACTTCTCCTGTCGTTCATTATCAGGTTATTTATTTGTTATCTAGTAAGAAAACTGAATAAAAACTTATGAAGAACCCAACAAATCCGTCTGTCAATCCAAACCTAAACCTACTATGCCTGTTACCTTTATACTTGTGGGGCGTCCAAATCTGGAAAAACTACAGGCAAGCATTTACAGTATCTGTCTTCTTCTCAAGCTAAAAGGATCCCCTGTGATCCAGGGCCACCTCTCCACCTCCCCAGGAAACCAACTATAAAAACTGACTCATGAAGAGGCAGTCTAAATAGACCAATAACAATTGGAGAGAAGTATGTGTCTTAATTACTTTTCTCTCATTGTTGAGACAAAATACCTGACACCCACAATTAAGGAAGGAAAGGTTTATTTAACTTACAGTTGGTGGACGTTTCAGTCCATAGTTTGTCCGCTCCAAGTCAGAGTGCACATGGCACAGGGCAACAGTTCAAGGTGGGAGAAGATAGCAAAAGGAACAAGGACAAAAGGGAGGAACGGCCACAAACAGCCTCTTTTGCTCCCTTCTATTGTATGCAAACTATTTGCTCCAGGGCCAGGTGTAGCACTCATACCCATGATCTCAGCATTGGACTATGGATCAATCAAAAGTCTAGAAGCCCACCCCATGATTACATGAGGATTTGAGGGGACATGCAGACACAAACCATCAGATTTACATATTTATTTGTGTAACACGTGCTCTTGGTCTTTCTAAGCAGAACAAATGCTGAGTGAGTCAAGACTCTGCAAATGGGGCAAGTGCCATGGGCAGGGTCCCTGACCCCTGCTGGGTTCCCTAGCCAGATGAGAGCCCAGCAGCTCTGAGCACAGCAAACCTGACCTCAGCCCTCATTTGAAAACCTTGTTTGAAAACCTCTCCATGTCATTCCAGGCTGGAAGCTCTCCTGCCTTTGAATTCCTAGGTCCCCTTCCACACTTTCTAAAACCAGCATTGTCACTTGGAGAAGGAGATTTGTCTTCATCTTCATCCTGGTCCTGCTTGTTCCAACACCAGCAGATAAAGTTTTCCTTCAGATCTCTCTTCTCCATTCAATATAAGGTAGAGGTACAGGGAAACTTTAAAATGGGCTTTTTGAAAATTAAAAGTATTTACAACAGCCATCTCCTCTTTCCTTTGAGTGAGTAAGCACAGGCTCTGACCTGCTGTGCCTGGTACACACAGACCAGCCTCCTCCAGCCCAGGGCAGGAGCAGGGATTTGCAGGCCATGCGACCATCTCAGAAGTGAGATGCAGGGGAAATCAAGCAGATGGGCAAGTACTAGGAAAGATTTCAAAATAGGGCAGGTGAAAAGCTTTGCCTGAATTTCTTCCTGAAACAGTTATAGGAATAAGTGAGGCATAGAAACACTGCAGCCCTCTTGAGATCCTGAGGCATTATGACCAACACTGCCAGTTCTGTGTGGCACACCAGGAATAAAGATTTTGAAGACTTTCCACTGTCTCTAAGCTTTTGTACCGATTCTAGATTCTCCAAACTTCAGAATTCTGTTTATGGTTTTATCTATTGCCATGCTTTCTACTCTTGTCCTCTAAAATATTCTAAGGTATCCTGAGAAGCAAATTAAGACCACTATCATGGGTCTTTGTTGGAAGAGAGGCAAAATTATGTGCTCATGTGTGCATTTTGTGGGAGTCTAAGATCCGAAGGACTGGAAACCGTAATTGGTTATGTCTTCCCCTGCCATCTTAGTCAGGCTGTGATCATGTGTGGAGGAACCCACACAAGTTCAAATCGTTTCTAAACTATACTCACTTCCTGTCTTCATTTCTTGTTTTTCTTTTTCAATATCCTGTGCCTCAAGCAGCCCCTTGCTTTGCTACATTCCTCCTTCTCAAGGTCCCTAACATAGAGCAGTGGTGAAGGAACTCAAGCAAAGTGTGTTCTCAACCGTGTAAAGAACAGCAGTTCAGTCTACCCATGGGAGAGCAGCCTGATTCTCTCCTGTTCCCCAAGGAAGAGACATGTTCTGAAGGGAAATCTGTGCTGCTCTGGTGTGAACATGGACACCAGGGGACACTAGGACTCTACAGAGATGAGGCAGGTCAGCAGCTGTGCCCACCCCGCCCACTCTACTGATTTGCATGTCCCAGAGCACAGCCCAGGCCCTGAGGACTTCTTCATAGGCTGTCACACCCTGTGCAGGACTCAGTCCCAGTCAGGACACAGCATGGACATGAGGGTCCCCGCTCAGGTCGTGGGAATCCTGCTGCTCTCGCTGCCAGGTAAGAGACAGCCTGGGAACTTTCTCAGCACAGTGTGTATTTTGCTGCCTAAACCTTCAAGGAGGTGTTTTATCATGATTAACTGTGCTGATATTTGTCATGTCTCCATTATCAGGTGCAGATGTGACACCCAATGACCCAGCCTGCATCCTCCTCACCTGCATCTATAGGAGACACAGTCACCCTCAGTTGTCGGGCCAGTGAGGATGTTGAGCAGTGGTTACACTGGTATCAGCAGGAACCAGGAAAAGCTCCTAAACTCTTGATGTATGATACATCAGTTTACAACCTGGGGTCCCCTCAAGCGACAGTGGGTCTGGGACAGATTTTTCTCTCACCATCAGCAGCCTGCAGCCTGAAGATGTTGGGATTTATTACTGTCTACAGACTTGGGATGAGCCCCCCGCAGTGATAATACAGGCCGTAACACAAACCAGCCAGGGAAGCAGAAGTGTTAGGCTGGGTGGCCCCAGCTGCTCCTCCTGGTGTCTCTACCTGCTAAGCACATTTCTCAGATGCAGCCAAGTTTTGCTGGGCACTGGGAGGTTGGGGTGGAAGGATGGAGCGAGGCTCCTCTGCACCCTAACTATCTCTCCTCCTTCTCTTTTCCAGCAGTGCAGACCTCATGATTTAATGCAGGCACACGTGAGCATTGCTGAACAGCTCGGGTTATGGCAAACATTATGATTCAGATAGCAACAGAAAAGCCCTTGCATGCATGTATTCCATGCAAGAATTTTTAAATGTTTGCACAATTTTTAAATATTTTTTGGACTAGATCCAGCCATGTGCTATGTATACCTTGGCTGTCATATATCCCGGCCTGGTGCAGTGTGAGGGACAGACATTTGGGTAAAGTCTACCAGCTTGCTATTTCTCTAGATATTACTAAATACCCCATCTAACTCTGTGCTGTCTCACACATAAATGTGAAAAGTACATTGCTAGATAAAACTAAACTAGAAATAGAAGCTTAGTTCCTTTATTACACTATGTATATTTCTAGTGCTGAGCAGATTTGTTTGGCTCAGGGCCAGGTTGTAGATCAATACAAATACACATTTACAGCATGTTAAAAAGTCATTTTGGTCAGCGCATTTCAAATTACCTGTGTCACTCACAGTGTTACAGCCAGAGCAGAACCCTCACCAACATTTACTCCAATAGGTCTGGTGGCCCCAGACATTCTCTTTGGTGTTCAGCTGTTTTGCTTCCTTTCTCCCCCATGCTGAGTCAATATTCATCTCAGGAAGGGCCCTGTCAGAATAAATCTAAGGAGTCAGCCCTTCCCTTTAGCACTGTTACTATGTTATAAAAAAAGTTTACAATGCCATCCTTCTTCGAGTACAGCTTAGAGATGTGTGGGATGAGGGTTACTCATAGCATTTCTCTATTTAATCCATAATCCAAGTGCTGTTTGTATATTACAAGGTGACAGTGATTAAAAAGAGGAAGCAAGGAGAAGAGAAGGAAATATTACCCTAACCAAGAGTTTCCTGGCAACGAGTAAATGAGAAAGTATTCAGTTACTTTGTTTTTTTCTCATTTTGGTACTGTGTTAACCACTGGTTACAACTTGAGCTCAGGAGGTGGTTAATGAGCTGAGACTGAGAAGTTTTCTTCCTGCAAGCAAAATATCTACAATTGTGTTTATTTATTTATTTATTTGTTTGGTTTTCAGTACCAGAAATCGAACTCACGACCTTGTGCTTGCCAGGCAGGCTCTGCGCTGTTGAGCTAAATCCCCAGCTACAATTGTGTTTATTACCTTAGAGAGAATAAGCAGTAAATATGAAGAGTGTATTCCTAATTTCTTTTGTTCAGAGTATTTTTAGGTAAAAATACATGTTACTTCACTTACAACTCTGACTAAATGCAATAAAACAAGTAAAACTTGAAAATTTAAAAATATAAAAATTTATATCATTACAGATAAAAATATAATTGCAATTGAACTATAAAACTACTGTGAATGAACTAAATGATACAGATCTACATGCCTAATTTATTAACCCAACTGTATAGCCGTAACAACCAGCATTTCAAAATACTAGCAATCAGGGGTAAAGTTGAATAATTGTTTTGTTACCATCTTCAACGTGAACACAAATGTCTGTGTCTTTTATTCTGAGAGTGTTCCTTCAGTTTTGAGCTTTATGTATTATCACCTCCTCCTTCGGTTCAGACACCATCAATCCTCTCGCAAGTTTTCTGGAATGAGTTAATATTTGTAATACTGTGAACAACACCTGCCATAGCAGAGTCACCAATGTACTAGCAATGGGGCTACCATGATTCTAAGACTGTTATGTCCCACAGGGGCAATAGTATATTCCTATTCTTCAGGTTCATTGTTTTCAATGAAAAGTCAAAGCAGCTGTTACCTGAGAGATGTTAAACTGTCAGACATGAATCTAGTGATCCTGGAGGCCCTTAAGAAAAAGAGCTGTTGGTGGAAGCAGGGATGTGCCTGGGCCCAAGGCTCCCTGTTATCCCTTCCTCACATCCTGTGCATAGACTAAGGAGAGAGGTAGAGAGTGCAGTGCAGGAGCGTAGCACTTCTGGCACCTTCCCTCATTTCTGCTGTCACAGCTGCAACCACTCACCAACTGCTGAGTGTGCAACGTGCAATTGCTGGGGTTCTCTCACGCTGCTCTGGAAGGGATTCTGGGATACCAAGGATGGGCTGGGATTACAGATCTATACCATGATTCTTCAGTCTACCACCACCTCCTGCATGGTCTTAAGGGCCGGTTGTCTTTGCCAGACCTACATCTTGGTCATATTATGAGGGTTACATACATGTTATGTTCACTGCCCTGGGACCATTATCTTTATAGAACTCTAGGTGAACTGTTAGTCTTTTGTCCTTAGTAGGAGGGAGATTTATTAAGAGGAATTACTTGAATTTTGTATAGAAACTTGCCTGGTAATTGATAGAATAGGATCAGTTTCATAAATGTATTTGAAACCATCAGTGAAGGCCTTAGGGTACCAAAATGAATAGAGTGCTATGTTACAGAACTTCCACTAGAGGGCGAACAAGCCCACAATAAACAAGCACTGAGGCCTCATTCTAGAAACAATGGAAGAGTAGAAGTGATATTCTCTCCTTAGTGAGCCTCTAAGGCAGGGAGCTGTCTGCTCATCCTTTAGGACTCACGTGGCTGTGGGGTCTGTGAGCCAATGGCCACGTGAGTGAAGCAAGAAAGAAGTGGCCTCAGGAATTCAGAGGTGGAGGTGACAGAACCCGCAGAACTCAACTCTGGAGATGCAGAGGAGATGCCCTGGAGGAGTCCCTGAGAGGAGGGGTAGGGGTGCGGGGAGAGGGGCTGTGACTGCAGACCTGTCTTCTGCTGTTCCGCAGAGTCCTCAGCAGTGAGCGCAGGTCACTGCTCGGTCCACAGGGGTAAGAGTGGGCCCTGAGCTTCTTTTCTGTTCAGATTCTGCGGTGGGGAAGGATCAGGAAGTGATGTGCTGACTCTGGGGTCTCACTGATCAGTTGCAACTTGCCATTATTTAACACAGTATATTACACAAGCGATTGAAGAGATCATTTCTTACCACATGAATTTAACATTTAACGTATATTACATGCACACAGCAGATAAGCAATTTATGTATTTATTTGTGTAACACATGCTCTTCATCCTTCTAAGCAGATCAGAAGCTGAGTGATTCGAGACTCCAGAATGAGAATATTTGCTGATTCTCTCCTTGGCCTCTGTCCCTGAGGAGCAGTGAGATCAGCTGCTCAGGTTCTCCCTCAGGGAAATCTTCAGCTCACAGAACCAGGGCAGCTGGTCCTGGTCTCTCAACTTGTTGCTCCTACTGGGGGCTCTCTGTTTGCTCAGCACCCAGAGTGTTGAGTACTTTCCTTCCCTGGATCCACTGCCAGGTGCCACATGGGCAGAGTTTCTGGTTTTACAAGCTCTCAGCCCCATGGGTCAGGGGGAGCAACTGCTTCTCACAGTCCAGGGCACAGATCTGCAGCTCTCAGCACTGCAAGCCTGACCTCAGCCCAGTTTCTGGATCCTGTTCCAAACGCCTCCCTTTCACTCCAGTGCTTGAAAATCTATGAAGACCCTAAATTCACTGCCCACATCTCAGTTCCTGATGCACCCTCAGCACCTGGAGAAGGAGGATTTGTTTTCCCTGTTATCCTAGAGTCCTGCTTGTTCCTAACACAGCAGATACAATTTTTCTTCAGATCTCTCTTCTCCATCCAATATAAGTTAGAAGCACAGGGTTATTTATCATTAAAGGCCTATTAAAAATTGATCCCTTTCCCAGCAGTCATCTCTGTTTTCTTCAGTTTATTCAGCAGCACCTTGGACCTGCTGTGCATGGCAGACACAGATGAACCTCTTGCAGCCTCAGCAGGAGCAGGGATTGGAAGGCTCCTGTGAGCATCTCAGAAGTGAGATGTGAGAGGAAAGAAGAAGGTGCACAGGTGCTGGGGAAGATTTTCATACACCTGAGATGGGAGGAGGAGGTGAAAAGTTTTGCTTGGATATCTTCCATAAACTCTTGTAAGAGTCATGAGGCATAGAGGCACCGCAGTCCTCTTGAGATCATGAAGCCTTCATCCCAACCATGAAAACAAGGTGTTGACACTGCTAAATCAGAAAGGAAGGACTTGGGTCCTTTCTACTGTATCCAAGCTGCTGCTCCATTCTTAAATATTCCAACACCCAGACTTCTGTCTATGATTTTAAAAACATTCCTTTACTTGCATTGCTTCTGAAATAATTCTAACATCCTGAAAAGAACAAGGAGAGCAAGAAGCAGGCTGGGCCTTAGAACTGCGTTTGTTGGAAGACAGGGAGAAACAGGTGCTCGTGTGTCTGCTGGGGAAGTCTGAGGCTAGAAAGCATAAGTGCATAGGTCTTCCCCTGCCCTCTGAGTCCAGCTGTGATAATGAGTAATGGAACCCAGATAAGTTCAAAGAGTTTATTAATTCTGCTCTCTTCCTGTCTTTACTTCTCATTTTTACCCTGAGGTTGAGACAGCCCATTTGTTTCCCTTAATTCCTCCTTCTCAAAGGGATCATAACACAGCACTGTGGTCCTCAAGTAAAGTGCATTCTGAAACATGAGAACAAGTTCACTGTACTTATGGGAGAGCAGCCGGATGCAGTCCTGTGGCCCAATGGAGAAATACATTCTCTGCGTGAAATCTGTGCTGCCCTGGTGTGGACAGGGACCCCAGAGAACACTGAGCCTGTCCTGAGATGAGCCTGCCCTGCAGCTGGGCCACACCCCTCTCAGCCCTGCTCATTTGCATATCCCTGGAGCACAGCCAGCTGCTTGAGGACTTCTTAATAGGCTGCAGGTCTCATCCTGTGCAGGAGTCAGTCCCAGTCAGGACACAGCATGGACACGGGGGTCTCCGCTCCGTTTCTGGGCCTCTTGCTGCTCTGGGTCCCAGGTGAGGAAGGACAGCACCAGGAATTTCCGCAGCTCACTTGGTCAGAGTTGCCTGAGGTTTCAGGGAGGTCCTGTTTTATCATGAATAACTGTGATGGTATTGTTGTTTCCGATTTCAGAGACCACATGTGACATCCAGTTGACACAGCCTCCATCCTTACCTGCATCTGCAGGAGACACAGTCACCATCTCTTGTCAGGCCAGTCAGAGTGTTAACAAATTCTTAAACTGGTATCAGCAGAAACCAGGGCAAGCTCCTAAACTCCTGATCTACTATGCAACCACTTTGCAGTCTCGGGTCCCACCCAGGTTCAGCGGGAGTGCGTCTGGGACAGATTTCACTCTCACCATCAGCAGCCTGCAGCCTGAAGATGTTGCAACTTACTGCTGTCCACAGTATCAGAGGTCCCCTCCCACAGTGATACAAGCCATGACATAAACCTCCCAGGGAAGCAGAAGTGTGAGGCTCGGCTGTCCCACCTGCTCCTCTTGGTGTGTCCACCAGCAGAGCAAGTTCCTCAGATGCATCCAGGCTTTGAAGGTCACTGGAAGGATTTGGTAGAAGGGTTCAAGAGAGGGCCTCTATTCTGTAATTTTCTTTTCGATTTCTCATTCTTGCTTCAATGAAAGACACCAGCCCAAAGTACACTGGAACAATGTGGATTGTGGCACCATTTTGTATTCACCGGGCAACAGAGAAGTTCTTCTATGAATTCCAAGCAATAATTTTGAAAGACTTTCATCCCTTTTGGAGATTTACAGTCACAAAAGAATTTAAACTGCAGCGGTGTCTTTTATATCCCTGCCCATATATCTTTACATTGTATAATCAAAATCAGTTGCAATTCTATGGCAATCATTCAAGATCCACAGTTTACATTAAGGATGACCCTTGATGTTGAACATTTTACCAGAAAACACATGTATAATGACATGCATCCAATGTTGTTTCACTGCCCGAATACCACTGCTTTCTACCTGTGCATCTTCTTTATCCTCCAATTCCTGTAAGGCCATCATGACTTCCCGCATCTATAATTTTCCTTTTCTGGAAAAATAAAATCTTGGAGTTTACAGTGTGGAAGATTTTCAAAAGCGAATCTCAAAATATACTGCTAAGGAACACAGAAAAATAAAATAATGAATAAAACATTTGGCTACTACCAAGACTCCCTTTATAGCATCTATTATTATCTCCAATATCCTGACTTAGCAAAGGTATTAGATACTTTCTATGCAGTATGACAGTGCTTTCATGGTATTGATTGTGTGTCAGAGGTCACCAGAAGGGTACAGAGTACTTGGACTGAATGTTAAGTGTCCCTCGGAATTTTAAAACATGCAAAGGATTTTTTAAATTTTTTTTGTCTTACAAGTTGATTTTATTGATGCACCCTTGAAATAAATTCTGATGCCCATAAAGTCAGTTGGAAGGACAGCGGAACTCAGGAACTCTTACTGTTCTTTTTTATATCATTCAGATCCTTTCACTGGTTCACTGAACCTAGCTCAGTGTCTTTCTCCACCAGTCAGGGAAGTGCCTTGGCTCTTGTTGACCTGTTTTCTGAGAAGTAAAGAAAAAAAAGAGGTGGCTTCGTTGCGTACTGGGAAAAATATCTTCTGTGTCATATTTATATCTGCATATGTGGCCTTTAGGACTGTGGCACTAGATCACTTTCCATAAACACAACATTTCATCCCAGTGCGAAAAATAGACTTAGTTCTTTGGGAAGACAACAGGATGTGACATGGAAAGCATAGGGTCACTAGCATGCTTTTTATTTTTCCAGTCAAGATGGCGGCAGCAGAGGAGGTTACGTTCATTGTAGGGACACAGTCTTTAAGCATAATGCTAACTTCTTTCCCAGAACAATCTGAGGTTCAACAGTAGGAAGCATTCTCTCTGAATAACCCGTTCCCTACTTCCTTATTTCACTAACTGGCTGTATTTATTTATTGCTACTCTCCAGTTTTTTCTTTACTTACTATTGCCTTTTCAATTGAATGTATTAATTAAGATGAGCTCTTGGTATTCTAAAACATGCTGAACACAGAATAATGCTAATTAACAAATGCCTTAATGACCTGTACCTCCTTTAGTTACTATTGTGTATCAATTAAACAATATCTTAAAGAGCAAATAGTGTGCACATCTTAAATGCTCACCGATTCCTGCTGGAAATGATGACCACATTACTTCCTAGGAGAATAACTTGGCAGAGTCTTAAGAACTTATGGTCGATGCATCACGCCCAAGAGTAGCTCTTTCAGGCCTTTGACTAACATGCTTGAAAACACCTGTTCACTCAGCATCTTGTGAAAGGCTACTAAAAGTAACTTTGTTCATAACAGCCTGAAGTGAGAAGTACCTAAACCGTCCTCAGCACATGAAGCAAGAAGTTATGACGTCACCATCCATTAAATAGTATTCAGAAAGAAAGAAGATCACATTATTGGTACATGAACAACATGAATTGACCTAAAAACAACTATGTTTTGTACAAATAGGAAGGCACTAGGGAATAGAAGCTATATAACTTCTCTTGTATGAAATTCTAGAAAAGGAAAATCTAATATATAGGGATAACTGATAGACTTGAGTTGGATGAGTCCATGAGGTGGAGAGGAAATTCGTTAAAAAAGAAGGCAGGAAAACGTTTTGCTTTTTCAGGATAAATTGTTATTCCAGAGGAATTTTCCCACTGTAATTTTCATAGAGATTACATTGACTCTGTAATTCCCCTTGGATGGTATGAACATTTTAGCAGTATTAATTCCTCCAGTACAGGAACATGGGGTATCTTTCCATTTCTTTGTGTCTTATGTAGTTTCTTTCATGACTTTTAGTGAAGTCTAACTTACCAATATTTCTCTCCTGTGACTCTATGTGCATGTTTGTGTCCTGTTTAAATGTTGCCTACTTTTTTTTTTTTTTTGTACCGGATATCAAAGTCAGGACCTTGCACTTGCCTTGCAGGCGCTTATGCCAGTGAGGTGTATCCTCAGCCCTGTTTGCCTACTTTTAAGGCATAAAGTTATCCTCTTGGCCTCTTTCCTGGAGCTTTCTGACTCATACCTGTAGGCTATGATATTCCATGAATTGATATTTCTACATGATGTCATATGGATTAAAATTTTTCAATATGTACTTAATTTCAGTTTCATTTCCCATTGCTCCTCACCACTGAATGGAAAAAAAATGGCAGATGTACATATAATTAACTTTACTATCTTTGTAGAAATATGTATATGTAGCTCTTTTTCTCCTGGACTCTTCCTTTTTGCTTCTTCAGCTTATTTATCTTTGTTCCTGTGGTGCACAATATTGTCTTCCCCGAATTTCTTCCATAATCCCCACCCACTTTTGCAATGCTCGAGGTCGAACCCAGCGTCTTATGCTGTACTGATGAAGTATATCGCAATTCCCTATAAAAGTCTTAACATATACTTTTATTCATATTCTATTTTTTTTCTTTCTTGGTACCTAGAGGCAAGCTCAGGACCTTGTACTTGCCAGGCAGGCATTCATTCTGCTGACCCACATCCCCTGTCCCCATATTCTATTTCTATTCCTTGAAATTTCTGGGCCTATTTAGGTTCTTTGATTTTTCTTGAATATTCTACAAACTGCTCATCAATTCATTTTTATTTTTTATTTTAACGATTGAAAAAACTAACAAAATAATAACGAAGAGGAAACCAAACCAACACAAAAAACGAAACATGACCTCAAAACAAGAAGATAGTAATTAACAATGGTTGCTGCATTACATACTTTTATCTTCCATAAAGTTGCTCTGTCCATCAGATGTAATAAATGATTTGTAGACTGACTGCATTTCATTGCACAAAATATATTTTCTATACATACATCCTCTGAGAAAATTAAATTTTAATAATACCAAGTTTTCTACTTGATGAATATGGAAAAATATCTGTATTTATCTCAATGTTTTTTAATTTACAAGACATAGTGAGTGTATTGACAGTGAACACAGAGCCTGAATCAAATTATTTTTCCAGTGATTTTTGGTTCAGTCTTTAGGAATTTATGTGAAATTTTGTTGTAAGTATGTGAAGATATGCCTTTTTTCTTTCAATCTGTGAATTTCATTGCTTTGTCTTCTTGTTGTATTTCTTAGCATCTTCAGTACAATTTTGAATAAAAGGGATAAATGTGGACATGCCTGTATTTTTCTTTTTCTGAAGGAAAAAAATACTCAAAATTTTATTGGTGAATATGATAATTTTAGAGACTTTATGACAAGTAGAAACACAGTTCTCCAACATCATTAAGGTAAAAGGGCCAGAGTTTGGGTTGCCTGATGCACTGTAATAAAATGACATGGAGAATCACCCAAAGATAAGTTCATTGCCTGCACAGAAAGTTCAAGTTCTGATTTTAGCAAAATGGTATCATGTGTTGAAGAAAGAGAGACCCACTGCTGCTTCTCTGTGAGGTTGTGGTTGTCCACTGACCTACGCTACTAAGCCTAAACAATTGTTGCCCTTTGCAAATTCTCAGAAGCGTAAGGCTGCATTAAGGACCCTGGGAAAGACTGAAAAACTACAAAGGAGAAGAACGTCTGCAAGACAAATTTCATACAAAGCTCTATTTCAACCAGACACAATTAGGTACATAGGGAGACGATGAGACTCATTAGAGGTGGAGAGAAACAACCCTATAGGCTTCTATCTTGTTCTTAATAGGTTTGTACTGAACAGCATCTGCCTGAGTCTAGAGGTTTGGTTAGACAGGAAGAAAACAATAGCAAGTTCTGTGACCACAGAGGAGAAATGCTGAGCTCAGGCTGAGCCAAGGGCCTTCTGACCTGGCCACCTGGGCATGGCTCGCTCAACTGTGGAAAAAAGACTCCAGTGTTTCCGCAGCTGCAAGCTCAGCTCATTTGGCTCCTGCTGCTTTGCATGCTCCTCCCAATATCACTGCTGTTCAGAGCCCATATCATTGCCTGGGCTGGTGCTCCGAGGAAGATCTGCACCAGGGAGGACCTAGCGTGCACCATGGCGGCTCTGGCTCAACTTCTCTGTCTCCTGTTACTCTGGGTCCAAGTTGAGGGCTATTTGGGATATTTCTGCATATCTGTGAAAACTCAGTGTTGGCTTCTATGGTCAGTACCAGCGTCTCTGTTCAATAAGCACAGTTGTAAAAGTTCAATGTAGATCAATGAGTTTAGCTCAACTGAGAAAACAGTTGGTATGACCTGGAATACATGGGTGACATTTCTGTTTTTCGTTTCAATCTCAGATTCCACTGGACAAATCCTGTTGACCCAGACTCCAGCCTCCCTGGCTTTGTCTCCAGGAGAAACAGCCACTCTCAGCTGCACGGCCAGTCAGGGTGTTAGCAACTACCTAGCCTGGTACCAGCAGAAACCTCGCCAGGCTCCCAGGCTCCTCATCTATGGTGCCTCGAGCAGGGCCACTGGCAT